TCCTCTATATTCTATAACAAACGAAATAAAATAAAAAATTCAAATTTATTTAGGTATGCACATTGATGATAAATTTTATATGTGTTCCAAATTGGAAATAAATGAGAATTTCAATCTATGCCGATATAAACTAGATGCCTTTGCAGAACTTTTGATCGATAGGGTTGGTAGGGTTCCATACATATACTGCCAAGAATATGATATACCGCCAACTTATATGCATATACAACCAACCAAATATACCAGGGGTAATGCTTCACTTACATCAGTGGTTCTTAAAGTATGGGTCGCGACCCAAACATGGGTCGCGGAAGGTTTAAAAATGGGTCGCGACAAGGTTGTCAATGCAAGGGCAATCTAAGAGGAGAAGGACAAATTTTCAGCTTTCCCAATGTTTCAATTTAGCTTCTAAACTCTGGTATTTAAAAATAATGAAATAAAAAATTTCATTCACGGAAAGAACTGTCTTGAGCTCATTGTTACATCACAATTCTGATATGCCAGTCACGTGTATTATTTTTATGGTATCGGTAACCATGCACGTCGCTTGTCGTTGTGTTGACCACATGGAATGTCGTCTTAGTGGATTAAAATAACCAAAAATGGGTGTCTTTTTGGTAATGAAAATTGTAATAGACGACGCAATGAAAAAGCTCGCTTCTCGACATTAGATTATTCAATATCTAGAGAAAATGTGACTTCATCTCGAGGCACTATTTACCGCAAACGAAGCAGTGCGTGCACATGTGACGAGTAAAAAGTTGTATATTGCGAGAGATACCGAAGGCCAGCTAGGATGTCGTGTTTGCGACGGACAGCGGACGCCTTTTCTGCTACAATTCGCGTCAAGGCACTTGTGCGAGCGAGGATATTTGGCACTGACGGAGCTCGCAATCACTTCCATACCCGTGACAACTTGCGTATTGCGTTAAGTAAAATATAGCTGTGTATTGAAGATATAATGAAAAAGGAAATTTCAATTTCATCAATCTCACTTGAGTCAATGGACTGTTTCTAATAAATAGTTGTCTGTATTTGAGTCAAACTGTACTAACATTAGAAAACACACATTGCGTTTTTTAGGATTGGGTCGCGAGTATTCATAAAACTCAGATTTGGGTCGCGCTCGAAAAAGTTTAAGAACCACTGACTTACATGTTGATTGCGGTTCCATTACATTTGAACCCACGTACATTTGAACCCATGACAATTGCACCTGTATGCTATTGCACCTATGGAATTTTCTATGTTTCACGGATAGTTAAACCCATACTAACCCTAACCCATGGGTTTTAGCACCCGCATATAGATTGAACCCGTGGATATGCGCATGGGTTCAAATGTACATGGGTTCAAATGTACGGTCACCGTTGAATGCGCACAAAAAGACATAAAACTACCAGTGTTCGTAGTACATGATAACTATACAATAGGTACCAATCTAATATATCATAATACCCACAACAGCTGGTCGTAGATAACACATAAAATGTGCTTGCTGAAAATCTCTCTCCAGTGAACTATTCTTTGGCTACTGCCAATGAACTGTCCACAAACTAATCAAATTAACGCTTGGTGAAAAATATAAAACATAAAACTGCATGATCGCGTAGTTTGTGATAAATGTCCAATAGGCGCTAATCAATGATGTCATAATACCCCACAAGAGCTTATCTTTGATAACACGAGAAATGTGCTGGCTGAAAATCTCTTTTTAGAGAACTTTTCTCAGGCTATTGGCAATAAATTGCCTAAACAATAATCAAATTAACGTTATTATAATATCCCGCAGCAGGTTGGAAAACATGAAAAATGTGCTGGCTCGGTTCCACTGCGTTGGTGGAGTGCATCCAAACACATCCTGGTACACAATGGGGATTTCTATCAAATACAACGAAATATGCCGTTAAAAATTAGCAACAAATTAGCATCACCATTTAACGAACTGTGGGACTTCAAATTTGGAGATTCAACAATTATGAAATTAATGTTCAACTGAAATATTTCAGATTTTCTTTCAAAAAGATCCTTAAACAAATTGATAACATGAAACTACCTAGGAGACATGCGTATCTGAAGAGTCATTGTAAAATTACTCTTGAATATTTTAGATTCTTATGATTAAATCTGGAATAAATTTATTGTTTTACTTTTGGTTTATGCCTAATTTCAATTGAAATCAAGTTCTGTAACTTTCATTCTCGATAATAAAAGTTCTTTGTTGAAAAGGCTATAAACATCAAATACGGATTGTGATAAAAAATCGAAAGTATATTTGTTTCCAATCACTGTAATGTTCACTGTGCCCAATAAAACGACAAAATGAACATACAAGTAAAATGTCCAATTTCGACCAAAAGCAAATAATTATCTATTGAAACAAATATTTTTGAATCTAGAATATATATGAATTGGGCCACGAGCTGAAAGTAAATCTAATATAACACCAAACAGAACAAATTTCTAGGCCTCTAAGCACTTAATAGATAAAACACTATCGAGTTGTGTGCAATGGAGCATGTCCCATTGAATCCCGCTCCATTTGTTCCCACAACCATCAAACATTTTCAGGATGCTCCATGTCAAGATTAAAAAAGTAAACTCGCCAAACGTTATTAATATTTCAGTCAAACTTCAAAACGAATGAATGATTATGGATATAGTATGAGTGCAAGAGATGATTTTTCACTGTTCTCCATGTCCCACCGTGGCCCACTTTCCTTTATTGAAGATAACTTTCCACAAACTTATCAAATAGAAGTTTTGGTCTCTCCCACATCTACGAATTCATTATAATTCTTTCGTACGCATTCTTTCTTTTAATTTAAAAAAAAAAATCAAAAATTGAGAGTGAACAGTGATTATTATATTTGAAAAAATTTATGCCTTATTTTAGGCAATACTTTGAGTGGGTTCAAACCAGCTACTAATTTGGCATTGAATGAGAAATAACTTGAACCTAATGAGAAATAACCTGAATTGGCCCGACCAGTATGTTTATGTACATGGAGAAACAATGCTAAAATATATTGACATCAAGATTGCGTATAAGGCTAAGTTTGTTAATAAACGATTGACGGACACGCGTGATAGAATGACTCATTCTCTTGCATCATATAAAAGTGTACTTATGAATTAAATACGATATTAGCATTTAGGTGAAAAATTTTACCCCACATTGGTCTCAAATAAAATTTGGTATAAAGAAAGTTTTGCTAAGATCTCACGTTCCATAAAGCTTATTAAACTTAATTTTCAGTATCTCTATCATTTTGTTCCCAATATTCGACGATGTTTGGCGTGTCCAGATCGTAAGGCGCCTTAACACAAAAATGTGAGAACCATTGCTTTACGACATCTTGTGTTATTACTTATTGATTTTATTCGGTAAGTATGTTGATAGGTATTTGTCTGTTTGTTTGTCTGTTTGTCTGTTTGTCTGTTTGTCTGTTTGTCTGTTTGTCTGTTTGTCTGTTTGTCTGTTTGTCTGTTTGTCTGTTTGTCTGTTTGTCTGTTTGTCTGTTTGTCTGTTTGTCTGTTTGTCAGAAGCCTATTGATTTTGGATGAATTATGTCCTATAATTAGCGAGTTATTAATTAATTAGTGATGGGACACAAGATGTCACTATGGAGTAAGAGCGCTGTTTTGGGATCCCCTAACTTTCGATCGATAAGTCTTCGGTCTCTGACCGATATTCTCGTTCTCATGTTAATGATTTTTCTGTTACAATGGTCTTTGCATAAAAAAATGACATTTTCAGTTAAATCGTTTTTTTTATTTAACAATTCAATAGTTTAACATTAATTTCTTAATTTAATTTCTTTTTTAACCACGTACACCGGCAACTTTATGTCTTATTATGCACAAGCAACATGTAGAGACTTACCACTGAATGATGCTCATATAATGATATTTTTTACATTTACTTTACGCTAGTTGCAAGTCGTTTTTTCATATTTCCATCAATAGCCGTGTTGGCGTTTCAGTAAGCGTAAGCACCCTACCCTAATTCGTCAACGAACATGGCCTCATCCTATAAGAATAATCTGTCGATGCTTTCTTGATTTATCAATATGTAACGTGAGTAATGATAGTTTGAACAAAACTTTAACCTGTTAGGTTTGTCGACAGTTTACTGCTAATGGCCAAAGAATAGTTCACTGAAAAAATATTTTCGATTTCTCTTTCGGCAGCAACGCATTCCACATGTTATCACATCGCTTAAATGCCTTCATAAGTACATAAGGTTGACTATACATACATATGACATTGGCTGATTCATAGTCCATGTGAGCTTATTGCATTGCCTATGTATGAACACTTCCCCGATTGGCTGTATATGTATATTGATTTGGCTGTATATGCATATCATATTGACTTTTGTACGTGGATCACTTTCACTTGTCTTTATGTGACTATCTAGTGATCTAATTGGCTGTATATACATATGACATTAGCTGTGTATGTACATCACCAAAATGGCGGTATTTGCATATTATTTGGCTGTATATGTATATTTAATTGGCGCTATATGTATATTTAGTTGGTGCTATAATGTTTATTTTGGGCTGTATATGTATATCACGTTACCAACCCCACTGCGATTGAAAGCTTACATATTATATGGTAAAACAGATATGGTTGAGTTACACGATGATGCTACGAGTTTTGGCAGACGTTAAAATGCGATTTTTACTCAAAACGTTGCAACACACCGAATATTTTAACCCTCAATTTCATCCGTTTATTTTATTGGCACAACTAGAAATTGATTGATCTATTGCGACTTGTTTTGAAAAGGTTGAACGACGCTCAATGTATTTCGGCACCGTACTCAAAAAATTCTGGAAGTCAACTTGTTGTTTTTACTCACTATACAGTATTAGGCCTTTAACACTTATTAAGTCACTGGTTTACTGGAGCCTAATGTCTACCAGAAGACACTTTCATTACAACAATTCTGTCTACAGTCTCAAGAGTCTTGAACAAGACTAAATCGATATTTTATTTTTGTATGTTTATTTATTGCAGTTTCATCATTGGCAATATTGATGGCAAATATTCACATTAATTTGAAAATACATTTCAAGTATCATAAGACACGTAAACAACATCGTGTTTGTATATTCAGTTAGAAAAATAAATGCTTATCAACATCACAATAAAGTAAAGTGTAAGACAATTTTTGTGATGTAGGCTCGATGTCTTAAATTCAGAGTACAAAAATACTGTAGAAAAGTTATAAAAATATAAAAAGTGTGGTTTATATTCGTGTGTCTTCCAATTTCAATTTTCTTTCGTAGGCTTCGTCATATTAGAATTCCTTGTATGCCATAGCAGTTGGATAGGATGTACTTCCGTTATCATCGCTCCATACTTTCTCGTCGTTCGAGCTAAAATTGAAAAAAATCATGTTTATATTATTGCAATAATCATTTATGAAGTAAAGATTAAGAATTAATTATTGGGAACGTGAACTTAGTGACCAGATATTGCGTGTTATTTTTTTATGATTCAAATCGACGAACTAAATCGAGGATATGACCAATTTCAGTTGTACATACCATGAAATTCTTGTTACGAATCCTGGTTCGCAATTTTCGGTTTGTTCCTCCCATCCCATACCGCAACTGTTTCCTCGCATACGAAGACGTACTTGAGCTCCGTTTGATTGTCTGCAACACTGACTCCATCCACTCCAGTCCCAGTCACAGCAGTTCACTAAAGAATAAAAGAAGCAATGTCGGTTAAGATTCGAAAAAATAACAGGTAAAGAATATTATTGCCATAATGGTAAATAGGCAACGTCATTTTGTATTCAAAGTTTAATATTTATACTTACATTCTTCACATGGTACAGTACTGCTTGGGCCTTCGAAGCAATAGCCATCACCTGGGTTTCCACCGATGCATTTACGTGTACGTGTCTAAATAAAATATCATATATTTAAATTATTTTCAGTTGAAATGTTGAATACATTATGAAAGTTTGATATAATTTTATGTTTTGTTGTATGCATATAAACAGCATCATAACTGGTCGAATATGGCTTTGCACATCACGTTATCGAATAATGGTGAATCAAAAAAGATTTCTACACTTAGACAGACCTGGAAGGATCCTGGTCCGCAAGATAGTGTGCAAGGTCCATAGTTAGACCAACCACCCCAGTAGGCACAAGCGTGGGTGTTGCATTGTTCACTTTCATCCAAAGAGCTTATGACACCGCATGTGTGGGATCGGCTTCTTGTTCTGACACCTCCGTTGCATTTTTCGCTGCATTCAGACCATTGGGACCATTCGAGGTAGTACCCTAAACAGAAAGCATTTTTAGTTGCAAGTATGATATGGACAAATATTTTATTTTGCAACTAAAGCGACATCAGAAGCTAGTAATATCAACTGTTTTCGAAGCAAACATCACGAACGAGAATTCAGATGAAATAGTTAAGAATTTACCTTCAGTGACAATGCAGTATCCAGTTTCCTGTTCATCTGGAAGCCCACAAGTGTGTGAACGGGATCTGAATCTCATTCCGGATCCGCACGATTTCGAACAAGTGCTCCATGTTGACCAGATGGTGTAGACTCCTGGGGAAGTGTTACATTCTTCACGAGTGACTTCGATTCTTCCTGAGCATGAGTGAGTGCGCTCTCTGCGAAATTAGAAAATGTGTACATAAATTACCATGTTTATTTCAATTACTTTAAATTAATAAAGTAATAAGGTATTAATATTACTTTGCACGTGTATAAAAAAGCGTGTTTTTGACTCTAGTATACGGAAAATTAACCAACCTAGTTCTGAATCCACCGTTGCAAGTAGCAGTGCACATAGTCCACATGCTCCACATAGACCAACCACCTTCTCCAGCAAAGCATTCTTCAACCTCTGTTCTGGATCCACGGCATCCTTCGTCAATTCCTGTTACTCCGCCTTGACATTCGCGAGATCTGGTTCTAGATCCGGACAAACAGGTGGCACTACAGGCGCTCCATGCAGTCCAACCAGACCAGTATGGGCAGATATCTTCGTTGCAGGACTGTGAAAAGATTATATGTATCATACGACTATATATAATATCAAGGCTTAGGAGTTGATGCTATCGGCAGAAATCCTGATGCACTCACCACTTGATCAAGTTGATTTCCTAATCCACATGAGTGTCCTCGTGATCGTGTACGAGTACCTCCTCCACAGGTTTGAGAGCATGATGACCAGGCAGACCACATCAAGAATTCTCCTTGTTGAGTGTTGCAAGATTCAACGACAACTTGTGGGGGAAGTCCGCAAGAGTGTTCGCGCATTCTTGTTCGGTTTCCTCCCGCGCATGTCTGAGTGCATACGGACCATTGTGACCAGTTGAAGTATTCGCCAGAGTGTGTGTTGCAGTCTTCAGTAAGTACCTCATCTGGTTGTCCGCATGTGTGTCCACGGAAACGTTTTCTGTATCCACCACCGCAAGTTTTAGTGCAGACGCTCCATGCACTCCACATTTTCCATTCACCTGTGTAATTATACAACATTAAAATATAAGTAAACATCGGAGTGAAGAATTATATTAATTACAATACTCATTATGAATCATTTAGACCTAAAAGTCTTTCAATTTCAAATGAGTTAAGTTAACGTTGTTTATACCTGGATGAGTGTTACAATATGACGTTTCTTTCATGCTTGATTTGCCACAAGTGTGTGTTCTTGTTCGTGACATGGTTCCACCGTTGCATGTTTTCTGTTAAAATTATATAAAAATCAGTGATGATCAAGAAGATGATACTTGAATGTATTTAAACAGCAAAGAGCAAGGAGAAAGATTTCGTAATAAAATATTCCTATTGCGGGTCCATGGCAAAATGTCAAACTTTTGATCACAATGTAGCGTTGCAAGACAATGTATAAGCCACATACGACTTTATATTGTATATCGATGCTTAAAGTCACTACGACCCCAACTCTTGCATGTCGAGGAAAGCAACTCACAGTGCATAAAGACCATCCTCCCCAGTTGGTCCATGATCCTGTGGAGATCAAGCATGGTAATGTTTCTAATGAGTCACCGGCACAGTCAGAGTCTCCTGCGGTTCCGGGAATGCAGAATCGGGAGCGAGTCTTGGATCCTGAAATATAATATAAATATATTTATGCTTTTCTCATGAATGCCGTTCAAATAGGGTTATGATTAATTAAATTTTTTTTCACTACAAACGAATATAATCTTCTGGGAGTAGTTACCCAAACTTTGAAGGATTCATACAACTATGTAGTTGTATCTAATCGAACTTGAAATCGAGTAAATGATGTCACGAGATTTATACGAAGGGACAGATTTATTGCGAAATGGCATATTTGGTTTCTTACCTTCATAGCATGATTTTGAACAGGCACTCCAGGGTCCCCATGGTGACCATTTGGCGCAGACAGCAACTGGGCAATCACGTGAGTCTACATCTTCAGTTGTTAAACATGTGTGTGTTCTTCTGCGAGTTTGGATGGTTTGGACTCCGCAAATGATTTGACATGATGTCCATGATGACCACATGTTGTACATACCATCTGAAATAAAAATATCGTGTTTAGTGACAGAAAATTAAGTGCATCCAAATCGTTCATTTGTAGCTAGCTAGCTGGTAGCAATGTCTTGCGATTTTAAAAGAATTCAAATGTGAATTTTGATGTACCTCCTCCGCTGCAGTTTCTGTGTTCAATGCCAATGGGAACGCCGTTGGAGCAAGTCGAAGTTCTAGTTCTTTCTTGAAGACCGTTGAAACAGGTGGCACTGCATGCACCCCATGGACCCCAAGACAACAGTTGGCAGCATTGTTTAGTTCCGCATGTACGTTGCTGTAAATAACAATGAAATATTATAGAATGATATCATATGAACATCCAAAAGAATTATTCGAATTTCAAATTCATAGTTTTGTAATTGTTCAAAATATTACCTCATATTTTTCAACATTTCCGCAAATTCCGACTGCTGATCTCTTTTGTACACCTTTGCCGCAAGAAACCGAGCAAGGTCCCCAGTAGCTCCATGGTCCGTAGCTTGGTGCGTCACCGCAAACACGTTCATCCCGATCAATACCACCTTCTTCCTGGGTGTTGCAGCTGTGGTATCTCTGTCTGTATTGAACGCCTAAAGAATACACAGATTGAATATAATTAAAACAAATGTTGTACTGCTTTTATAGTTTTATAAGGATGCACAAGTTTTCTTTAGTAGTTTTGGGTATGATGTGACTAGTATTATTGTAAGATTAGTTCCCAAAAACTTTGAACGTACCTCCGAAACAGCTGGCAGAGCATTGGGACCAGCTTGTGTATTCTCCCCATGATCCTCCTTGGCCACAAACTCTTTTTTCGTAGTTTGGTGTAAGACCACATGAATGTACTTGATATCTTGTCTGAAATGAGTTCAAATTACCAAATTAAATTACAGCATAAAAAATGAGATTTTATTGCAATTTTGTACATGAATCCGTCATTTCAAACGTTTTTACCTGTTCTCCTTTGCATGTGCTGCTGCAAGATCCCCATGTAGACCACATTCCGTAACCGCCTGGTCCTCCACATTCTCCAACCTCAACTTTTTCTTCTCCACCGCAAGTGTGCTTGGCTACTCTGATCATTTGACCACCGGGACAAGTAGCAGAACAACGGCTCCATTCTCCGAAAGGCAAGTACACGCCTGGGTTAGTATTGCAAGACCTGTGAAACACAAATTCATGTTTAGATATTTTGTACGCTGATCGATGAATTGAATATATATGTAAAAAGGAATGTGCACTTACATAGTTTCGGTTTCGGCTTCTTTGTTTCCACAGATGGTGTAACGTTGTCTCATTGTGTAACCACCTCCGCATGTTTTGCTGCAGGGAGTCCATTCGCTCCATGGTCCGTATCCTGGATCAACGCCGCAGTATTGAGTTTCGATTTGGTCGGGTTTTTCACATGAGTGTGCTTGTCTTCTCTGACGAGTCCCACCTGGGCATGATTGAGAGCATGCACTCCATTGTCCCCAGGGCATGTAAATACCTTCGCCGGCGTAACAGTACTAGAAAAACAATAGGTAAATTAATATTTAAAATAAATTGAAAATAAATGAATATACGGCATTGTTTCGGATGACATAGGTTTTGTTTCATCTGAATCGAATCGCCTCAAATTCAATATAAAGCAGGTGATTGCTTACTTGTGTTTCGCTTTTACTAGCAATGGCTGGGCAGCTGTTTTCCCTTTTTCTTGTTTGAGTTCCTTGTCCACAAGTTACTGTGCAGCCAGACCAAGCAGTCCATTCATAGTATTGACAACACGGGTTTGTGTTGCAAGATTCTTCTTGTTTCTCGACACCATTGGTGGAGTAAGCGATCATGGGGTATACGTCGAGCGTGTTAGCTGTAAAAGCATTTTCAGTCATTAAACTCAAATGTTAAACGATTGACAATGAGACCATAGCGAATAGATGAATACTTACGACATGAGTGTACACGGCTTCTGTAACGTTGTCCGGTTCCACATTGTTTAGTGCATGTGCTCCATGGCGAATAATCTCCCCATTCTCCGGCTCCACCACAACTTTCAGATTCAACCTATAATAAAATCGTACGTTTTCAATAGTACCAATAGTTTTGACACTAGACCAATAATGTGACTAATTATCTCTAGAGTTTTGTACCCGGTAATTAAGTGGATATATTTGGCCGTTAAAAATAGAACGCACTGCGTTAGTTTTATTACAGCAATGCAATAACAATGGTGACGAATGCAAAGAGCACATTATACGTTTAGCACGGTAAAGCATGCCTTGACTTATCATTTATTACTTACATCTTCTTGTCCACCACAAACTTGGTATCTCAATCGTGTGCGGGATCCGCCATAGCAAGATTGACTGCATGCTGACCAATATCCCCAGTTGGAGTATCCACCTGAATAACAAATTCATTTGTTCATTCCTCTAATTTGAAAATTTGGAATATTCGAATTCAAAAATTGTCAAGAACAAACCTGCTTGACCGCAATGTTGTTTCTCAGCATCTTTAATTCCGGAGCATTGGTGGAATCTGTATCTGATCATTTCGCCACCGGGACAAGAAGATGAACAGGCCGACCAAGCTTGCCATTGGTAGTAGTTTCCTGGACTTCCACATGGTGCGGATTCAACATCCACGGGTTTTCCACAAGTATGAGATCTCATGCGACTTCTGATACCGCCGATGCATGACTGTGAGCAGGAGCTCCATTCAGACCTGGTTGATAATAATTGAGGTGTGTTTGTTAGTATTTTAGGTGGCTTTCATTTAAATTCTAATTACGATTTGTCTCACGATTTGATAGCACTATGCTTACCATTGTTGGTAGTGTCCAGCAGATCCGCAAGATTGTGTTTCGTAATGGTCAGCTTCTCCACAAGAGTGAACTTTAGCTCTTCTCTGGTATCCACCAGCGCATGTCTGAGAGCAAGCTCCCCATGGTGACCAAGCTCCATAATTTCCTGGACCTGCGTGGCAAGTTTTGGTCTCTTTTTCGATCCCGATGTATGGGCAGATGTCTTTTCTTGTTCGCGATTGTGTTCCCTGTGATATTTATCAATGATATTAATATTGCCACAACTTTACTACAAACAACTTGTTAATTCGAACTTGCAGAAATAGAACACTAACCATGTTACACGTAACGCTGCAGGGACTCCAAGAAGACCATGCGAGTTTTCCACAACATGATCTGATGTTGCAAGTTTCCTGGTCTTCATTTGGTGCATAACCACATGAATGCATTTGAGTTCTAACTCTAACGCCACCACCACAACTGGCAGAACAAGCAGACCATTGGCTCCAGCTGTGGAAATATCCGCTTCCTCCATTGCACTCTTCCTTTTCAGTGGTTGTGCCAATACATCCTAAAAGAAAAAATAAATTGATTTTACATATTTTATAAGTAGAGGCATGCCGTTATCGCGGATGGTCAATTGATAATTAGGCTCATTGATGTATTGCAGACCCCTTCCCCATGTGTATACATTTGAATTTTTATTTATAAATAATATTTGAATGACACTGTATTCGTTGAATAGTGCAAAACTTACCGTCTTGTCCGGATTCCCCACCGTTGCATTGTCTTGTTTTGGTACGGTATCCTTTGCCACATGATGCGCTGCAAGTGCTGTAACCAGACCATCCACTCCAGTATCCACAAATTTGACCTATTGGTTGAGAACAACGTTTGTGTTCTTCGGAGTTACCGATACAGTTTCCTTCGCCTGGAACGCAACCTTTGCATCGACGGAATCGTCTTTGAAGAGCAACGCCACATTTACCTTCACATCCGCTCCATGCTCCCCATGGATACCATGTGCACACTGTAACAAGACGGAATACATCATTTAAAATTTAAAGTACATGGAGTTGATTTATATATATATATATTTTAATTTTGATTAGAACAGTTGTTGTGGTGCCACCGGAGACTTACTTTTGTCACAGCCTGTGTAGTAATGTCCATAGTAGCAGTTGATGTAATAATCGACCGTAATATCCCCAGCCTTGCGTCTGTCTTCTTCGTCAATGAGGAAGGCAGCGTACATTTCGTTTTCCTCGACCTCCTGGCGGACGATTTTCTTTGAATTCATTTTGAAGCAGTTTACTTCATCCTGAAATTAATAGTAAACTTTAGCATTTCTCAAATGTTTAATACTATTTTTAACACAGTGAGCCCAAACGATGGTGTTTATACCCGAATATTGTTGATCTACAACATAATCAACCACTTACGGTTTCGCCGTCCATTGAAAAGCAACATCCTGGCGTCTTTTTGCATTTTTCTTCAGTAATGTTTCCTTTTAAACAAGGCACACGTCCGACATCATCAATTCTGCAAAAAAGACCTGGAAAGCAGAAACACGATCAGTGTAGAAAATATCTGAATACTTCTAGTTCACTAGTTTAATATTTTTTCCCAATTTACACAAAACATAAAGTGTTTTGCATAAATCTTCATTCACATCGTCAGAACGAAAAATACATTTATGTTACAAAGTATATGAATAAACTTACTTCTCACTGTCTCTTGCATAAAAATCTGAGATTCACTGACTTCTGTTTTGGCAACAGTTGCCATAAAGCAAATCGCAGCAATTGCCACGCAAATCTTCATGTTTTAGGCTATTTATTACTTTCAAGCCTAGATAAATACAAGAATTTGTACAATTATGGAAGATTAAATTTTTTACATACAAAATAGATCAAACTTTTGTTGTTAATTTATAAACTACAATTTTCCTTATAAATCAGATAACCCAGAGAGGCGTTATAAACCCATACCCTCGATCTAAACCACTACATTGTAGAGTTAAAACAATACTTTTGTAGAAACGCATTCAATAGAAAGCCTAATCTCCACAGACCAGAGAAGACGACGAGATCATTCTAGTTGAAGACTTCGAGGACACTGAATACACTTTCAATTTATCCGCACTATATATAGTCGTTTGGGGTAGGCAATTCCCATACTCCCTGAGGGACAATATAATTACCGATGTCGTGTCCATAATATCGCTGTTATTTACGATCGCATAACCGATGAAGCGAAAAGTTAATTCATCATTTTAAACAGTTTATGATGGGAAATAACATGACAATTTATCACTTACCTGGCTTTCAACTTTTCATAGTATATCCAATCAACGTGACTTTAGAGAGTATTCACAACCGTTTCCAGTAATTCTGCAAATCTCGACCCTACCCCAGGCACACAATTATTATTGTTGTATATGGCTGTTGAAAATACGCAGGAATTTCACAAAAATACCGAGTCAAATTTTATACCCTGTATGACAACGTGTTAAATTTGGGCAAAACAGTAAAACATATAGAGTCAAAATTATGACTATGTAAGTATGCTTCTAATACAAATAATATTTATGTTAGTAGGTTATTTGAATTTTATTTTTCGTCGTAAAAGACAGATTTTACTTTAGCAATAGAGTTGTTGTAGGACATCCAATTTTCTCTGTATCATATTGTTCTTCTTGAACGCCACGCTCCATATTAACCAGGAAGCTAAAACGTTAATGTTAATCGCGTTGGTTGACTGTGAATATTATATTGGCAATCTTAAGACACTTGAAAATAATATTGAATCCTAATTATAATACATGGAAGAATAAAAAGCGAACAGGGTATGTTCACGTAACAAATATCATCTGTATATAAAAATGTAGACTTCAATTGAAGTAAATTAAACTGAAGTTTTGCTTGACTACTCAAATTTGAACAATATAATTTTTTATATAATTTACAAACCCAGATTATTCCTAAATCAAAAGCCTGAATGAATTTTTCGAAGAACACCTTTTCTTTGTGTCGATTTGAAAGATCATGAACTGCATTTTCTGTCTTATAAACATCGTCACTGGGAATCGGTTTTTGTCGTATACTAAAATTTTAATTCATGCCTAGACCGTTAAAATTATGTTATACGGTTTGAAAAATATACCCCAAACTTACGGCTATATTTGGCTCATCTATATATCGCTTTTGAGCATGTGAAACTAAGATGTTTTCCGTGAAATAATAGATTGAGTAAGGTATAAGACAAAGGTCCATACAACAGACTATAGCCATGAGTTAAATAATAATTTGTCTACAGTTGCGTAGTGACACTCGACGTGCCTTCACGATGGTAGTGGTGATTATCGAACGCATTGCGCTCATTTTTACCAGTTATGCCACAGGTTGGAATATTTTATATATATATATCAGGGGTTCACTTCAAAATTATGTTTTAACACTCCGTGTCGGAGAATAGCTATAATTGAATGATACACTGTAACCTTTTGTGGTAAAACTTGAGTTGTTGTTGTTGTTTTTAATATGATTTATGGCGATTATAACATCAGTGGTCTTTTGCGCTTTTAATCAATTCAAAATAAAAATTTTATATTTACTAGCATACATATGCAATATTTACCAATAAATAGATATACAATAAATTAATTATAATAAGTATTAATCCGAAAGAAACTACCCGTAAAAAATTAAATTTCACAACTGTTTCAGTCATGTCCATGTTCCTAAGCATTAGCTTTATTTTTAGTTAGCTTAGCTCTAGTTTTCTGGTTTTGCGGATGACGGGAATTCTCTGGCGATTATATTGTTGGCAATGCAGTAGAATAGATAGTGGGCTACGGTTTGAGGTACAGAACACTGTTCTCAATATCCGTCGGAGTGGCAACCAATTTTGTGTGAATAAGCATTCAAGGCAATTGCTGTACATTTTCGTTTCAAAAATGATATTGCAATACGTTTTTTATAGTTTGACGAATATGAGCATAAAATCAGTGAATTTATATCATAATTATTTTTCTATTTTGAATATTTCTGCATCACCCTAAAATGCAACACATCGAAGCGAATCATATATTGATAACAAATGTTATAGAATCAGATTAAAACCCTTTCGTCGGAACCGTGATGCGATCACATTCGTTTATTTGAACTGGAGATATTTTCAAAGGTGGTAATTACAAATAGATTATTGTGTCATAATTACCGTGTTCCATCAAATTTGAATCTTTGATAATTTAAATAAGACGACCCAATGTTTGAGTGGCCCAAGCTTGATAGACTTCAATAATGATTACTTTTCAAAATACCTGCATATATGTATACTTTCTACTTCGTTAATTCGTCTAATTATGATCTAATCCGTGAAAATTGATGCAATAAAAAATAAATAAACACTTGAAACTATTCGTCACGCCCTGTTGGCAGATGTCAATTAGAAATCGTTCAAACGTAACATGACACATGATTGACGTGTCGTGAGAATACGTTGATTATTACAATATTATTACTAATAAATCGTTAATTACCGTACTTCCACAAACAAGTTTTCATAATGCAAAAACCAGTTTTCTGGGTGTAATACAAAGGGTTTGAAGTGGAATATCCACTGTTAGATGTAATCGTGTATATACTACGTTGTATATCCTGTATTATTCGTTAATTGAAATCTATGGTAACGGGTAGCGCCAGTAGTTTTTCTATACATCTCAAAAAGTTTCAATACGAGCATTTGCCGTACTCCACGGTTTGTTAAAAATTCACATGTTAAAACAATGATTCATTCTGTTCAGTAATTCGTGTCCATACTACAGTCATTTGAGCATTGCTCCCTCAATTTCTAAATGATGATTAATAATTTCAGCATAGTAATATTGTGATGTGAATCTGTTATCATATTAAATGATGAACATGTATGATTTCCCACGGAGCTCATACTTTTCGATATAGTGACATGCGAATTTAACAATAAGCACATAGATCGATATTTGTCAAGATTCAATTCTTTCAACAAGCATTTATATTAAGATATGACACGCGGTATTTCTAATTACAAAATTATTGTTGGGTTTGCTATTGTTTTACGAAAACTCGCATCTCTCTACAACAGTTAGACTAATTTTCTTTTCTTATTTTCAGTACATATCCCGTACGACCCAAACTAATGAAAAGTTATCTGATTATTCAAAATTTTAGAATCAATATGGCAAAGCACTTCCTGGCTCCATAGATAATTAAATATGTACTGATAAGACCGTAGCGTAAGAAGTTGGCACCGGATTTGTCGAAAAGATGTCGGACTCGCCTGACGTATATGACACGCGGTGGTGTAATATTCGCAGAAATAGCAAAATGTTGGGTGAAATATCGATCTCCATAATTTGAAAAAGAGAACAAAAGTAAAAACTTTCTTGCGGCTTCAACCATTTTAAAGTATCGAAAACGATAGGTCCAATAGTTTAGGAAAAAGGGGATTTTTCGCAACAACAACAATCTAGAAAAATAACCGAAATGCACCTTTCGTGCCCAATACCACAATATGGGAGGAATTTTTTCAAATCTGTTTAAGAGCCGCTTATTTTATTGGTGCACACTTGCATAATTTTACAACAGCAAAAATAGCTAAATATACTAGAAAAAAAATTTTGAAGAGTCGGATAAATAAGGAAGTTGATTTGAATTTAGTTTTACAAAGTAACTTGTTATATTTCGATATAATCTAGAGCAGTGGTTCCCAACAGGTGGGTAATTCTCCACTTGTGAGAAATTGAGGGGTTGATAGTGGGGAACAAACATAATCGTAAAACATTGCACTCAGTAAACACAATGAATGAATAATATTACACAATAAATATCATAATATATAACACCGAGCGAAAAAATATTCTCCTGCTGCGAAACGTTATCTAGATTTTGATAAAACTTCTTGTAGGCATGTTGCCGCATCACCGTGGATAGTAAATCGAAGCGTCACATCACAAGCTTTTTCAGGTGTTGTTGCCTATAAAACAAAAGCTATGAAGTGATTGGGGGAATTGATTTCTATACTAAAATAGCCAAAGCTCTTTTAAATATGTGGGAAATGAAGACTGTCTGAATCGGAAGTGGGTATTGCAGTAAAAAGGTTGGGAACCACTTTTCAACAGTGATTTTACCTATGAAAAACAGAAAGATTCACCTATATACCTCATCTCCATAATATTCCACCATTAACGTGAAGATTGGCAGAAAAAAACTCATCTCTCAGCGACCGCACGATGGAGCACACGATTCAAGAACAATATGTCCAGATTTTAAAATGATACTATGATTTTTGCAGTGCTATTTGCCAAAGAATGTCTCAAATTAAATTATAAAAAAGTATTTATTGTGACTGAAAACTTAACCTCTCTAGAAGATAACAAATCTAGCTATATATTTTAATTTGAGCTGTTTAAAATCATATAACCTATTATTTTTTAATTAAAAATAGTCGCAATTATGATATTATATGTCTCAGACCTCTATCATATATTTTCGATTAGAGCATTATTTAAAAAAAATATGAATAATGAATTACATTGCAGATTCATTGAAAGTGAACTATGTTCTCTCTGTGTAATGAATCGCTTTAGATGAGTTGATGAATAGGTCGCTTTGGCCATCGTGTCCATATTTTTGAGTATTGCTCTCTTTTTTGAACGCCGGTGTATAGTCACTATGTGGAATTAATGTTGCTAGCTGGTAATTACCAAGCCCACCTCTCTCCAATAATTATGAAAATGTTGAAAAATATAGGTCGCAGCGATACCGCTTTGTTGCACCTGGCCGACGAAATGCCCAAATTACAATTCCCTGAGTGTCATTCCGCTACTTCCATACCAAGAAAAATAAATTCCGTGAGATGCAATAAATAGATATCTACAGTTTGTAACTTCTCTTTTAACGTGACCCGGTAGCACAATGTGTCACATAGAGATGACTGACAAAATCGAAAACGCATCTCCCAAATCCTTGTCCAAACACAACCAACTGTTGGAAACTTGTAATGAAATTCGACGAATTGATAACATAGGATGAAAAGCTCAGCAATACAAAAACATCACAATGTAAACATGTAGTCCAGAAACGGGGAAAAAATGATAAACGGGTTTCTAAAACAAAATAATATGTCTTAGAACACTATAACTGAATAATACAAAATTCAGCAATGATCCAAATACAAATAACATACCGATAATATTGATAATAATTTCTACACAGCAACAAATGTACGACACGATTGAAATGTACGATTCTTTAGTTGATCCAATCCAGTTTCTAATGTAGCGTACCGGCAATGTATGAAATAATTATCCAGGTTCAGAATATCTTCTAATATGATCTGACGTCAAGTTTTCTCTCAATAGTCCAAGTCTTTATGCTATTTTATGTCATTTATTTAACAACTCGAACAGTAAACGATCCAAAACAACCAAACACTCCCAAAGGAACGAAAAGCATAAAATAAAAATAACAGATACCAGGCAGTAAAATGCAAGAAAGACCACATACACAACAAAAACACTGACAAACCCTGAAATCCAAGACAGCTCTGAATAAAAACCAAATGACCCCTAGAATCTGGTACAATAAACTAGCTACTGCAATTTACAAAACAGGCCGAAAGTGACTTATGACAGGCATTTAAAAAGACTATAAACAATTCTATAGGTGCACAACATTTGAACAATACTGATGAAAGCTAATTCCACGATAAAACTGAAAATACAACACTACGGTAAATGAACTGTAATGGCACTGTACTGGTAAAAACAATAACATGGTCCCTACGTCAGCCCACTGTCCAGCACAAAACATCCGACAGTCACACAACACAGACAAACATCCCTGAAGACCAGAGGCATTCACACAGACATTCAAAACCCACCAATCTAACCGAAACACTCAGACGACTGCACTCTGTCACACACAGCATACACCAACAGACCACGCTGCCCCAGAGAACCGATCGACCGTGTCGCAGCGTCTAAACTGCTAGAATACCAAATATGGAAACGATATCACATGACGTCATTTAACAGGCAAAACAAGGGTCGTCACACTAACTAATTTAGATGTCTAAGTCATCCAAATGATAAATAGCAATAAGCAAATCACAATAATATCAACACAAACAAAACTTGACTTGGCATCAGAACTAGAGATGTACCGATGTATCGGTATCGGGTATCGGTATCGGCAATATCGGCCATTTTTTCGGTATCGGCCATGTATCGGTATCGGTTAGATTAGGGCCGATATTACCGATATATTTACCTTTTTGATATGGTCCAGAATGTTTTAAAAGATAAGTTGGAATACTACTTTTTAATTTATTTTTGTCTGGAGAGATCGTGAGATATGAGCCATACATGTCCCCAACCCTGCGAGAGAATAGGATTCACGTGTTTTTAGCTATTTATCAGCTAAACTAGCTCAACTAATTTGGCTATTTTCGCTGTCAAATTTTTATATTGACATTTTTAATATTACATAGTTTTTATGAAGAAATATATCAACACAGCACATAACAAAAAGCAAATAGGCGCCCAGTTTTAAATCATACAGTGGAATTGGGGTCCTTCCTTATTAACGGCACATGGACTTTTGGTCTGACTGTTTGTCGTCAAGTACGAGTGTCATTTAGTCCGTCGACATCGATAAACTAAATTCCGACACAATTATCCCACTGCACAGGTATTAATTTTAATTCTGCTTAACTACACGATTTCTTTATAGATATATTGACTTGACCGCCTAGCCCTAGACTGTCTCAAAATATATGATAGCAATTGTAAAATATTATAAAATAGTGAAGTAAAAAAACATCCTCAACGGTTATCGGTGGGCCTTCTTTTTTCGGTGCTGATTGATATTCTTTCATGTTGGCTTTGACTTATTGCTTCGACGATTACGATTAGCCACTAAATTAAATATTTATAAAATGCTTTTAATTTGAACGTAGGACGGCGGCGCTAGAATGTGTGGGTCAGTGGCGGCCCGTCAATAGGGCCAACCGGGGCAATGCCCCGGTTGTTTTTTCGGTATAATAAAAAATATTTGAAAAATACCTCAATATCGGTTGCACAGACTGTCTACACTAGCCATATTCTCCCGACATGGTTCATTTTTCGCTCGCAAAGCCTTCGCCGAACGTCGACGGGGCGACGCCGATTTTGCCCCAGTTGCTCATTGTATATCGTATTCTCTCTTTTATCTTCCACTCGCCGCGTTTGTCTCGTTTGTTTTCTGTTTCTTTTACTAAATCATCGGGGCCGATCGGGGCTAGCCCCGAAATTATGACGACACAATGCCGACGTTTCTTACAACAACGTGTTGACATATTCACGCATTCCTTCTCGTTCGTTGGTTGCTTGAAGAGTTGATAGTTTCCTCGCCTTCGTTTTTGTCGCTTGTTTCGCTATTTGAATCAGTTAGAGACCTTTAGTCCATTTGCTTTCGATTTTCCACATTCCTTTTGAGCTCCCAACTTCTTTCCGGCTTCGCATTTCTTAGCCTTAGACCTCATAATGAATAAGGTTGATGCACTACTTCGCACTCCGTTTTCGCAGCTGCCGCTGGAACAAAAATAAGAGGTACAACGTCTTGGGCCTTATCAACCAAACAATTGTTCACTGGAACAATCCCATGACGGAGGAAAGCGTCGGCGTACATTCTGCGCAGAAACTTGGTATAAAAAACACGAATGGTTGTGTTACAGCGAGGACAAAAATGCACATTTTTGTTTTTATTGCCTACTTTTTGCTACCGCCCGTGACTCACGTTGGTGTAAATTTGGTTTTAGAGATCTTAAACATCTTTCCGATCGTGCCAGGGATCATCAATCTTCTATGGAGCATCTGGACAATGCAGTAAAATACCGAACATTCGGAAATGTTAATATTGCAGCACAGTTGGATGAAGGACGCGCGGTTTCTATTCGTCGGCACAACCAAAACGTCGAGAAAAACCGCCATGTTCTCGTTCGATTGATAGATGTTTTGAAGTTCATTGGTTGTCACGAGCTGTCCCTCCGTGGGCACGATGAACGGGCTGGCTCTTCTAATAGAAGGGTATTTTTGGATATGGTGGAATACACCGCATCCCTAGATACAGTATTGAGAGATCATCTTGATGCCGCAACTGTTTCGAAAGGGACATCTAAGGATATCCAAAATGATTTGCTCGACTCAATGTATAAAATTTATTTACAACATTTGGCTCTGGAAATTGAGAATTGCCAGTTCCTTTCGATTCAGTCTGACGAGACAACTGACATCACGTGCGTTTCCCAACTGGCTGTGATTTTTCGGTTTGTGAAAGATGGTAAACCTACCGAGAGATTTCACAGCTTTGTACCAATCGTTGATCGCACGCCTTGCGGGATATCGGCTGTACTGAGAGAAGTGTTACAGCCTTACAACGCGAAGTCAAAATTGATAGCTCAAACTTATGACGGCGCGGCAGTCATGAGTGGGTCGAAACATGGTGTTCAAGTTTATATAAAAGAAGATTTTCCTCATGCGCATTTTTTACATTGTTATGCACACCAATTTAACCTCGTTATTAAAAATATGTGTCTTGATACCCCTCTCGTCCGTATATTTTTTGCAAATGTTTCGTGGTTTTCTCCATTTTTTTCCGTTTCGCCGAAGCGCTCTGACCTCCTTCGCCGGATATGTAGCCGCCGTCTCCCAGCTTGTGCACCAACACGTTGGAACTTCCAATCACGCGTGGTGCAGGGCGTGTCCAAAATTAGGTCTGAGCTCATTGAGTGTTTCAATGGCATTCAGAGCTCTCCGGTTTGGGACGAACGCTCTGTGAGGGAGGCGGCAGGTCTAAAGCGTCTGCTAGAAGATGGTGAGTTTTCATTTTTTCTCGCTTTTTTCTCCACAATATTCTATCACGTGGATGTATTATACGGCGCATTGCAGTCAAGGCTAATGGATGGAGCGTCTGTGCAGTCGTGTATTTCAGACTTCTGCGATGCTGTTTCTCGTATCCGGGTAACAATAAAATACGACGACACATGGAGTGCTTTTTTACGCCGCGGGCAAACAACGCAGCGTTTGATTTTGTCTGCAAAGGAATGCTGTGACATTCTGGTGAATCAAATAGGCGATCGTCTGCGCACTGAACACCTTGCCGCGTTCTCTTTGATAAACCCCAAAAATTTTTCAAAATTTGCACGTCAATTTCCCATCCATTTGTTGGCTACTGTCTCCAAATTTTACCCCATGATAAACGTGGGTAAATTGGAAAATGAATTGCGATGTATATACACCAATCAAACTTTTTCGAACATCACATCAACTTGCGCGCTCTATGGGTTCCTCATAGATAACACTCTAGTAACTACCTTTGCGGCGTCTGCAAAATTTCTGGACATCATTTTGACGACGCCTATTTCTTCCGCCGACGCAGAGCGAACATTCAGCACGCTGAAGCGTATTAAAACGTATCTCAGAAACACAATGAAGCAAGATAGATTAAATTCCTTGGCTGTTTTATCCATTCACAGAGACGTTATTTCTGGGATGCATGACTTTGATCAGCGCGTTATTGAGCATTTTGCTTCCAAGAAACCGCGGCGTGTTGCATACATGTTCAAGCAGTAGAAGTCTAGCAGCATATATATCTACGAGTGAGCGACGCATGTCCTTATCTTTGCATTAGCTTTCCTTTCTTCATAGTAACGTTTTAAACCTTATTTTGGGTTTTGTCTGCTTTCCCGAAGTTTCTGTTAATATGTCATTGTATTTATCTGAGTAAATATTGCCTTTCCTTTTGAAAGAGGTTTCAAAATAAACTATGTCTATATTTATTAATCCCTTGACTTGGACCGGTTTTAAAGACACTTTCTTATCGTTAAAAATTGTCGCTTTTGCCCATTGGTTGTTACCGATGGAATGGTTTTTATACTCATAAAATGATGGGAGAACTTACAGCGCTCATCTTGTCCCCGTAGATGGGGGTGACTTGGTCCCGCAGTAGCTTGCCCCGGTTGTCAAAATGACCACGCGCCGTCACTGGTGTGGGTGATATTCGATATTCTTTTAAACACGAATAACGATATTCGAAGCTCGCGATATTAACATTAAATTCAAATTGGACATCCCGGCTTATGAGTTTTTTAATTGAAAACCAAGATTACTAGCGTTACTGTACAATGTATCTTAATAAGTTACAGCATATGGATACCAAACATTAATTTCATATTATGTGATATATATATCTTTTTTTTCGATCTGAAATAATGTGTAC